AACATTCCACAGAGAGAGAGAGAGAGAGAGAGAGAGAGAGAGAGAGAGAGAGAGAGAGAGAGAGAGAGAGAGAGAGAGAGAGAGAGAGAGAGAGTGGGCGCTTCCAGGAGCACGACACACCCTCATTTTGGCTGCACCTGGCCGGAAAGATAGCACATATACATTCATTATTTGACCACAAAAACAATGCACCCTGATAACGAATGTCTATAAGCTTTCTTTGCGGCCTGGTGCAGCCAAAATGAGGATGCGTTGTGTTAGGGGAAGGCTTCGCTGTGTGCGCACCCCCCCTCAACCGGCTTCGATAAAGATCATAATAATAATAATAATAATAATAATAATAATAATAATAATAATAATAATAAGTTAAAAAAACACCTTTTGGGGGGGGCAGGAAAGGAAAATGTGCGCCCGTGCGTACAACGCCCGCGCCCCATGGTACATTATGTACGGGCGCGTACGTAGTGTACATCGAGACGCCCAGGGTGAAGTGATAAAACTTAATCACCATTTCCTGACCTTTAGTATGTTAACTAATCATCATTTTCTGATATTTAGTCTATTAACTGATCGTTTGAAACATTAACGGGAAGTACACAAGGAAAATTGGAGATGAATGTGTGATGGTTATGATGATGATGATGATGATGATGATGATGATGATAAATGTATTGTCCTTTTTTGACAGGTGAAGAGCCTTGTGCCCGTCGAGACACCATTTGAAGTCGATCCTAGCGCTCCTCCGCCGGAAAGAGACTTTGCACCTTTACTGGCAACTTTGGTTGAAGGTGTGACTGGGAAGATGGAGGAGACAGTCCAGATGGAGGTGAAAGCTGGAGTTTAGTCTCAAGGATCTCACCAAACTCCTATCTAGTATCTACCACCATTCATCATATTATCGTCTCCCCTTTTAAGCTTGATTTCCCTCTCCCCCCTTCACCAGGCTTATGTACGTCTCCGAGTTCTCTCTGTGTGTGTGTGAGTTCTTTCATCGCTTAGTCTTGCAGTCAGTACTCAAAAACGATATGCGACAAATTGCCGACAATTTAGAATTCCCTGTCTATTTATGGCCAGATGGACAAATTGCCGACATTTCCAAAGTCTCAGCTCCCCCATCCGTTGTATTATGCCATATGGTGTTGTTGTTCTAAAATTGTAAATTGTAAATTGTAGTTATTATAAATTCCCTACAGAATCTATACGTTTCTCGGCCTTTTGGCTAAAAGTAGATCGAGTGTAGTATCTGTTATCTGATATGTTTAATATCCGATCCGTGGAAAAAAAAGTGTTTGAGCTGGTGTGTAATTCCAAGTTGATTGATAAACATCCAGTTTCATCGGACTTTGAAGTTCGACACAGCCGTGCATTTGAATGAAAGGAATATGACAGTGCAGACAAGGACAAAAAAAAGTGCAGCGAAGTTGCGTCTACCAAGGGGGAAAAAAAAAAAAAAAAAAAAAAAAAAAGGAACGCCTTCAACTTGTGCCTGTTTCCACGTGCCGCATGAAGTGTGGGTGGTGTCAGAGTTTCCATAGTATATGACAATGGACATAAGGCTTAAACCCTTTTTTTTTTTTTTTTTTTTTTTACATAAGGCTTGAACCACTAGTACCTCCGCGTGAATGTCCCTGAAGAGTTAGGAGGTACCGGAGGCTCAGCAAGAGGAATAAAGTTTTGTTTTTTATTGCCCGCTCGTGAAAGGAAAAAAGAAAATAAAGGAAGACACTTTCTCTACTGCAATGATGACGGGCAGGGTAGTCTAGGAGGCCGTGTTCTCGGAGGCCGTGCTCACAGTAGTTTTCCACAGAAAGAATCTGACCGCTAAAACGGTCAGATTGTGCATGTTGTTTTGTTTCTTCTTCTTTTTTTTTTTCTCATTCTTATGATTCACCTGCCAGCGAGGCAGGGCGGAATCCGTGATCTGCTCAAGCTGTGTTTCCCTAGAGGATTATAACCGTGATCACAGTGGCACCTAGAGGAATATATCCAGCCAATTTCATGCCCGAATACAATTCTCTCTTTCATCTGTCAAAGTCAAGATCAAAAGTTTCAACTAGTGAAAAAAAAACTTCAAGTCAACATTAATGGAAGTGACACTGTGAATTTCGGTCTCGCTCCACTACTGTCCACTACAATTTTTCGGACAGTTGGTGGACAGTAGTCAGAGCGAAATATTGTACAGCGGACAGTGGAAAATGCGACATCGATCCACTTACTGTCCGCTGTCCACCTCTCAAATTCGTGAGTTCACTACCAGACGCAGTGATAGAACTACAAGACAGGGCGTCCAAAGGATTTTGTTCGCCCGGACTCTAGGTGCACTGTCCAAATTCGGGTCCTCACGGTGAGTCCCTTGAAGGACTTTCCAATGAACGAATTTTGCAGGCTGGGAGCTGTACATTCACGGAAAGTAGATTTCCGACAGGGTTTCTAAAAACTGTCCAAGCCATTTTGCACATGTACAGTGGACAGTAAGTGGAGCGAAGTACGACTGTCCGTTTTTGTACAGTGGACAGTAGCGGAGCAAGACCCTTTCTGTGAAACCCGGAAAGGCTGAAACCCTAATTCAGTCGAAACTTCTGTCATCTGGCGCCTTTCCATGACAAGAATGTAATGAAATTCTTGTTTTTTTTAACTTTTTTATTTTTATGTTTATTTTATCCCACTCTTCTCTTCTTGAATTTGTTTAGTTTTTTTTTTTTTTTTTTTTTTTTTTTACCATTTCTGGGTTCTGGTCCCACCTGTGTTGTTGAGTTAACTCAACGTTGGGTTTTCGACGATGAGTGACAACGTTCAACAGGATGTGGCCGTCTACAGGGCTGAGATCCTACGGTGGGAATTTTTTGCGAAGGGCGATGTTCGTTGGGGTGATTTCATGGTTTTTTGTTTTTGTATAAGGACTTCGTACGGAGTCCCGCAGTGGACGAAAGGCCTTATGGGCAAGCGCCACGGAGTTCAGAAAGCTGCCCTCCACGGTCGTGGGTACATATGTCAACGTGCTGAATGTATCCTTTTGCATTTTCGGTACTTCACAGGCCGCCGCGCGCCGTTCCCCTTTTGTTGGGGAGTGTGTCAGTCACTTTGCGAGGGGAAGAAAGAACGTAACCGTCATGCGTGGGCTCCATATGTCGATGTATCTTTCCGTTTTTTGCGGTGATTCATTTCTCTGTGTGCACATTTGGGGCCTCGTGAGGACTGGAGCGAGCTACGATTTTGACGCTAAATGCCTGAAATGCATTTTTCAGATTTATTAAATGCTTTCGGGGTGTCACACAGTTGTGGATTCTAAACTCAACGGCCGTAGGTGGGACCAGACCCTGGGTTTATGAGTGTTATCCTGTTTTTTTTCTTTTTTTTTTTTAATGAACAACCTGCGACCTCTACTAGGGGGGGTGATAAGAGCAGCCCCCCTTAGTAGCTGTCCCTGGTAACTCGTCTATTGGTCTGGAGCAGCACCTGCTGGAAACCGGGTCCAGCGTCCCTGTATAACATTTGACAATCATGAGAGAAGCCCGCCAGCATTGATTTCCCCTGACTGCCCAGGGGTATTGACTGTGCGGTGAGAATATTTCAGTAACGGAGGTGCCTCTTCACCCCACCATGGGGCGCCTAAACCAGCCGGTCATTCCTAGCATCCTCTATCTCCTTGGTGCGGTTGCCAAGAGGCAGTTCTAGAGTCCTGACATTCTCCTTGCTTGGTACTTGAGTCGTCCCAGGCTCCTCGCAGCATGTGTCCACTTGTGGGCTCCTTCAACCCCCGGAGTGCACTGGGGGTACGATTTGCCCAATGAGTATCAAGTGAGGGTTTCAACCAGAGAAAGGGGATGATGTGGGAAGGCATCCGGGAAATCAAAAGGAGGTCTCATGGGGAAAGAGGGTTCGACATTGACCACTACCGTCTTCACCCGAAAATAACGCCCGGCGTTCTATACGAATACAACGCCAGGGGGGGATTATATTCGGTTATAATGCCCTGGCGTTATATTCAGTAAATTGGTGGCAACTGCGGTGGGGCCCAAAAAATCAAAACAAACAAACAAACAAAAAATTCTGTAAAAAACATATGTCGTCTAGAACGTCACTGCAACCAACTTTTGGCCGAGGGTCACTTCAGAATCCCTTACAAATTCGGAGATAAAAAAGTAAAACAAAAAATCAAGCCAAAACATACCCCTTGGAAGTCAAAACCCCTTACCATCCCCCTTTAAAACCCATGGATACTCCCTCTACAAGACTGTCCGCCCATGGAACATTTAATTATAATGCCCGGGCGTTCTATTCGAAAATAACTCCCGGGCCTTCTATTCAAATATAATGCCCGGGCGTTATATGCAAAGGGGCGTTCTATTCGAAAAAAAGTGAGTAAAAACAAAAATCTGATTTTTAAAGGAAAAGTTAAATATAATGCGCGTGCGTTATTTTCGGGTGAAGATGGTAGTTGAAAAGGAGACGGTAATCCCTGCAGGGCCCGTGTCCAGACTGGCCGCCCTGGTCCGCCCCCCACTGTACCTGGGTAATCCAGCCCCCCCGATTCACTGCAAGCCAATCTGTACAGAAGCCCATGAGTGCTTGCCTAATATCCTGGTCCGTCTGAAAGATGTCCAGCTGGGATTTGAGAGTTTGCCATCTTTGCATTAGCTCCCTTGCGCAGGGGCCATGCTAATCTTCTTTGTATCATTCCAATTTTAACGGACGTCGTGAAGGACGATTTGTTTTGATTCTTTGGAGTTAGGGTCTCGTTAGACACTCCTAAAAATGACAGTTTTTAGGAGTGCAGTGTTGTTACTCGCATTCCTTGAAGTTACTTCCAGAAAAAAACAGTGAAAACAGCTTCAGGACTAGTCCTGAAAACTTTAGGAATCCCTAACCAAAAGTACCCGAAAAATAAAGCTCCTCGCGAGGAGCTTAAAATTCGGAGGAACAATGTGTCCGTGTGGGAGGGCGTTGTCCGAACTTGAACCGTGGTGGCACCCTATTGGCTCAAACCCTGAGGCGTGGATTTTTTTCCTCTCTTATTCTACCTAATACTTGAAGGGAAAAGCGGTCCTCGGAAGACGCTCCCAGCGGGCCGACGGAAAAGAAGCCCCACGGGGTCGTTTCTCGGGACAACCGGTGAAAAATCTCACAATAGGCGCGGGTTAGAGTCGGGGAGGGGCCGGGTCGTTTTTGGAATCGGGGAGGGTCTGCTTTTTTCTATTTACATTTTGGCCTGGCAGGCTGGCACTTGGGCGGGCGGGCCCGCGCGTTCGGACATGTTTTTTTGGGGGGCGCTTGGTACAGTTGGTGTTGGCGTGGCTTTACGATCGGGGTGTTTTTTCACTGCGGGTTTGTTTCGCGCCGCATCGTCGATTGTAGAAAGTGTTGTACGGCAGGTGTAGGGCAGATTCAACCAGGCAGTGTATATTTCCATGTTCTAGCGGAAAATCCATTTGATTTTGCTCATCCTATCGATGGAAGTCGCGTGAGGTCAGCCGCGAGGTTGGAGACTTACCTG